TCTCCGTTATGCAAGCCAGGTCGGCCCCCTCCTCCACAATCAAGTCATGGATGAGGGAAGATTTATTATTGACCGACCTGGCATTGAGCAGCAGCACCGTCAGGCCTGAGGGGCGGTTGACAAGGCTACCTGGCACCCTCTGGGTGGGGGAAGAACCAGAAAGAGGGACAGGTGTCAGCCATCTGTCTCTCCTTCTTCTACGTGGACACGTTAAGCCCCCACCGCTGTTACGTCCATTGCTCATGACCACGCTAATGGCAACGCCCGCGATCCCCCCAGGAAACATAAACGTCGACACGGCCAGGGACGACTTCATAAAAACAGATTAAACAGGATGAAACTATAGTCCCACAGGGGCAAGGGCCTGCACAGTGTAGTTGTCAAACCAGATTTCCTGAATGGTTCCTTCATCAGACACATTCGCATGTTTAAACAGGATCCAAACTGCAAGGAGGTCTACTCAATTGACAATAAAGCAATCAGTAATGTTTTCCATACTATTGTCACCAGTATTTCTGATCGGTTAAAGACATCAAGATGCTGTTGTGCCAACATTATATGGAAACTTAACACTCTGCATGACTAGCAGGTTATAAAGTGTCTGTACATGAGCTGTGATTTTGTAGTTGGCGGTGGAGACCCCCCCCCCCCCCCTAGCATGCTGTCGTAAGTCACTGCAGGGGTCCTGGGTAATCTTCCAATGAAGCTGCTGAGGTTCAAGGTGAAAGGGGTCTTTCCTGACTGAACCCAGTTATCCTGTGTAGCGGCTGCCATGGAGGTTTCCCAAAATCAGTAAGAGCTGATAAGGCTGCTGGGTTAACAGTATTGCAATCACCCTCATTTGCATGCCAAGACTCACAATAATCCCATGATCGTTATGTAAATATCCTGCAATCAAATGCCATTGCATCAAGCCCCCTCTGCTGACCCCTCACCTTCATAGAAACAGAGTGAGTCAGAAGTGGTCTCCCGGGCCATCTAGTCTGACCCCTGGTTCCAGCCGGCTCCGCTCACGACATGCCCACCATGTGCACTTCCAGCCTATCCTTGAAAACCCGCACCGATGGGGCCTCAACGACCTCCCGTGGAAGCCCGTTCCTCACCCTCGGGGTCCTGACTGTCAGGAAGTGCTTCCTGGAAGCCAAACGGAACCTTGGTTCCCTGAGCTCGGCTCTGCTGGAGCGCGTCCTGCCTTCCTCTGCAGGGGAGAACAGGCCTCTCCCCACCTCCGTGTGACACCCCCTCACGTACCTGCATGTCGCCAACAGATCCCCTCTGAGTCTCCTCTTCTCCAGGCTGAAGAGACCCAGTTCCCTCAGTCTCGCCTCATACGGCGTCCCCTGCAAACCGGCCACCAACCTTGTGGCCCTGCGCTGCACTGACTCTAACCTGGCTATATCCTTCCTGTAATGAGGGGCCCAAAACTGAGCACAATACTCCAGTTGCGGGCGCACCAGAGTTGTGTAGAGTGGCAGCAACACCTCTCTCCATCTAGAAGCCACACTTCTGGCTATGCAACCAAGGATGGCGTTCGCCCTCTTGACCGCCGCACCACACGGCTGGCTCATGTTCAGCCTGCAGTCGCCCAGCACCCCGAGGTCCCTTCCACAAGGGCTGCTCTCCAGCCACTTGACCCTTAACCTGCACTCATCTGACTGTGTTCCCCTTATTTCGTCATCAACTGCCCAGCTGCTGGGCCCATGTGACTCAGAACCCATAAAACACTCTGTACATGTTCTAAGAGCTTGTAGTTGGTGGTGGAGACCACTAGCCAGTACCATGCTGCCATAAGTCACTGCAGGGGGCCTGGGTGATCCCACCAATAAAAACACTGGGGTTCAAGACACTGTGGGTCCTGATAATTCATTCTCGCCATTAGTAAAGAGACTCTGACAGGTGCCCAGGTGGGCACTGCACAAAGCATTGGGGGAAAGAGCTGGTTTTCCTGGCACGAGCAGGGCCCTCCCCTCCCTCTCACATCCCTTCTTTGATCTCCAATCTCTGGTCAGAGATAACAGGAAGGATTAATTGCTGTTAATCAGGGGCTCTGCATTCAAAGCCTAAAGGGACCATAGCCACATTCCCCTTTGAAGTGGCTAGAAGCTACTTTTTATCGTTTAAAATCAGTTTTAGATATATCTGTATCTCTGTTTGTGTGCTGCACGGTTATATGTTTGTGTGCGTGGAGTTTTTATAATGCACTTTTAAAGCGTTGATCCTTGTATACCGCCCAGAAAGTTTCCAGTAGAAATTTAATAAATGAAGGACAAGTTAATGACTTTTGGGCTACGGCTGAGCTGGGGAACATGGGAGGAGAGTGCTATTGTAGGCGTCCTCTGAAAAGCTGCTTGGCCGTGGCAGGAACAGAACGATGGATTTATCGGACCCTTGGTGGTCCTTGCGCTCCTCTGTCTGCTTGGTGCTCAGCCTTCCATCTCTTGGCTGTAAGCATAACTAAGGGTACAATCCGGTGCACCTTTAAGCAGAGAAAAAGTCTTACAACTTCCAGCTTTTTCCCCTTCTGAACAAACACAGGAATGTACCTTAAATCAGCAAAGAATATCAAACATATTGGACTCCAGGCCCCACCTTATTTTGGTTTTCCCCCTTATCCCCCTCCAACCCCGTGCATGTCCTTGGGTTTTCGAAGATGCATGGTAAGTTTGGGCCTCTTGCAGGCAAAAGTCTCCAAAGCTTTTTCTAATGCAGTCAGGCACTGATGAGGCAACGTTGCCTGTTGAATTTCTGCCTGTCATGCTGCTCTGAACTGACGCTCCAGTAGGAGGCAGTCCTTACTTCCTAATTCTGTTCCCTAGGAGATCCTTATCTTGTTCCTGTTGTTTGCTCTTGCAGAAAATAAATCTGCAAGTCAAGGTGCTGTGTTCCATGAGTCTGGGGCTTACTTCTGAGTAGACAGGTAGAGATCGCATAACATGGACAGCCGGCCATTTCTTAGAAAGCATCTGGTGAAGTATGCTTTTGAATTATGGGAGACTATTTTAATATGTCTTTAACCAAAAGTGCAAACTTTTCTTAGCTTTAAATTAGTGAAGAGCAGGCTGCTAGGGACTGATTGATGTGCTGTTCCCTCTCCCAAATCGGTACCTTCCAGATCTGTTCAGCTGAACTCAGGAAAACAGATTTTGCCATCCTGCCCCACTGCCCAGTGATAAACACATCAAAAGACGCCTCAGTGTCTGGTGGTGAAGACCAAAGGACCCACGCTCCATTAGCGGGTGACTGTCAAAGTGTAATCTCTGTATTTTATGGACTTGCCAGAGCGCCAGGACTTTAATTTAGAAGCCCTGTCAAAGGTATCTAATGAAACGTAACCTTTTCTTTATGATGCTGTAACTTCCAATCTTGGGCACCCCTGAATCCATGTGTTGAACTGATAAACCTAACTGCCCTGGCAAGAAACTGATCGTTTGAGCCTTAATTGCGGATTTCGGTGTGACACAGCTATGACATCCATCATCCTCAGCCAGGACAGCCACTGGCCACAGAAACAGCCCCGCCGTGGAGCTACCGTTCAATTTGCCACAGTGCCACTGACGTGGCCTCACTTCGTGGCATCGTGGGAAACTTAAAGTGGCAGCTCCCATTCCCAGCCTGTTGAAGGGGCCCCTCAAAAGGGGTCGTAGCTGTGGGCTCTGATGGGGCCCTGGCAAATGCCCAGAGATGCCAGTTCAAAGACCGTTCCAACTCAGAGGATCTCAGCTGGCCGAGACAGAAAAGCAAGCCACCACCAGTGAAAGCGATGGACAATATACCTGGCAGCTTGGAACTCGGGTCGGAGTGCAAGACAGCATTGTATGGCAGGAAAAGCTTTTATTTATTGAAACTTGCAAGCAGTTTTCAAACACCAAAACGTAAGTGTCTCCAGGGTGTACATTTGCCGTGAGAGCTCACGGAAGGCTCCTTGGCCCGCAAAGAGAGATTCAAGTACTGTCACGCTACATAATTCTGCAATGCGGCAGAATCCAACAGATGCGGCGTTCAAGATCTCCGGATATCAGTTCTAAGGCTGCTTTCCAGGCAGAAGACCACCTGTCAGTCCTCCTCGTATACAAGTCCGGCTTTTGAAACTCCTGTGAAACTGATAACAGAAGAGGCATTAAAATGTTGGATTGGGGCCGGAATCAAAGGAGGTTTCCCGCAGCTCAGCATTAGGAACACACTGGCCTAGAGCACCCTTCCCCAGCCTGGTGCCCTGCAGATGTGTTAGGTGTTATGAGAGTTGCAGGCCAACACACCTGGAAGGCACCAGGTTGGAGAGGGGCTACAAGCAGTCGGTGCAGCAACACGGTCCCAGCAACGGGATTCACTCAGTGCACCAGAAACCTTGCCGAAGAAAAAATATCCCGTTGAGGTATTCTTGATTCCAAGATTAAGCCTGGTAATATGCAGAGTAATGGCAGAAGGAAGAGCATTATTGATGTGTTTGCTTAATTTCTATACCACCTGTAGCCAAACCTCTCTGGGAGGTTTACAGCAAAGAGAGAGAACAAAGTACCTGTGAGAACATACAGAGGCCTCAAGCTTCACCGCAAAGGGACTGTGATACTGAAGGTTCCACCTATGAGCTATAAAGTTGCAGTGTCTCTCGCTTACAAATTTACCACAAATCAGCTTGATCCTTTGATGGTGCACAGCAACTGTTTTCACAACAGTTTCTGCTGGGGAAGGGTTCCAAAGAAGGAGGACTGTGATCACAGTGCATTTTTACCCCACCCTTTTCCCTCTTTACATAGCTCTATTTTATCCACACAACAACCCTGTGAGGTAGGTGGAGCCATGAGCCTGTGATTGGCCCAAGGCCGCCCGGTGAGCTTAATGCCCAAGTGGGGAGCCAGTTCTCCCCAGGTCTGGGCCAACACTCTAACCATCACACCACAGTGGCTGGGCACAGAAACCAAGAAAACGGAGGTGTGTTGGGGATTAAATGGCAAGGATCCAGTCAGGAGACCTTCTCACCTTTGCCGTTCTCGGGGTGTGTTTCACCAGTGTAGAGAGATCTTGTTCTCGTTCATCTGTCCCATGATTTCATTGTATTTGGAAGTCACAGTGTTGGCTCTCGTCGTCAGCCGAACGAGAACGTGCTGTAAGCCAGACACGTGGTAGTAGAACAGTCCTTCAAGATCAGCCTCTTCTCTGTCCTCCTCCTCTTTCATGCTGGAATTCTTGCCCTCCAGAGGGACCAGGCCGCTCTCTGCCATCTGCTTGATGGATTTGAGGAGCATGAAATATTCGTACAGGTCTCTGTCCACTGAGTCTCCATCGCAGGAGTTGGCTTCAAATGTGCTTCCCCGATCTTCCAAAGAGACTCCCAGGAGAAGGCTGGGAAACATCACTGTTTGCTCCATCTTGTGGACGGCAGAGAAGTACGCTTCCATGGGGATGCCGAAAGAGACTCTCTGGCTCTGAAGTCTGCTTCTTTGCCCAGTACTTGGCCCAATAGGTAGCTGCAAGCAATGGTCACTCTCAGCCCGGTCCTTGTCAATTTATAAGGAACACCCGATCCTGGCCAGGGTCAGAGTCTCTGATTGGGATGGTCACATGCCAGCTGTGAACACCTCCCGTTCAGCTACTCAGTACTGGGTTCTTGTCCATGTCAAGATTTCGGCAGCAACTTCTTTGTGATTCTATTAGAGTCTGGTTCATTCCCCTTTTTAGCAACTTGCTGTCAACTAGGAGTTCAAGGGCTTGGGTGATCTTTCGGCTGACCGCTAGTGACAGAAAGAGAGATGTTGTATCAACGCATCTGGCACTGAATGGAAATGTTTTAATACCCTTTGGCGAGACGCTCGTCCAGCCACTGGGGAGCTGAACCGAGCCTGTGAAGGGTGCCAAGAAGTTTCATCATTTGTCCTCTGTCTGCGAAACCATTTCTTGCACTGTTAGGGGAAGTTCATTGGACTGGAGGGCCAGCCCGTTGCAGGGTGCCTTTCAAACCAGACTAGATGTTTGGCAACGGCCTAAGTCTTCTCCTCTGAACTTCTGAGTTTCAAGGGGAGGGCGAGACTTGCAGGAGGCATCGGACGCTGGGTCAGGGCATGTGTCCATTTCACCCAGTCCTCTAACTGGCAGGGGGTGTCTGCTCTTTACAGCTGAAAATGGGACGGTTGACCCTATGAGTGCTTGCAGGCCAAGCAGGCACCCTTCCCCAGAGCTGCAGCTCCCCGTTTCCTTCTTGCGCTCTTCCCCAAAGTTGTCTCCCTCCAGCACTGGTTCCCAGATGTGCTTGCCATCGCTGGGGACAGGGGGGTTTAGGGGAGAAATTACTGGTAGTGGAAGGTTGTACCCTCCTCTCCTCCTTTGCTCTATAGGTGTTTCATGGGGCCCTGTGCCCATAAGCCCAGGTCTTCTGGCTAAACCCTAGTTTGGCCCTAAAGATGAATGCAGACGACAAGTTTTCATGGACTCAGAGGCAGTACTAGAGAAGCATCATTGTTTAAAAATGAGTAGAGGATATGTACATACCCCATTACCCAGGGATTATGTTCAGACATGGTAACCTGCATTCCAGGGTTGTGTATGGGTTGAGCGTGGGTTGTTGTGGAAAGGTGGTCTGAGCTCAGCTGTGCCATGGCTTGTTACAACAAAAGGAGCATGATGGCAATTGCTGTTGCCTTTGAGGGAATATGCTGGGGAACATGGGTGGTGTTGCACTTATATCCTACTTGTGGGATCCTGTGGACAGCTGGTTGGACGCTGTGTGAACAGGACGCTGGACCGGATGGACCCTGGTCTGACCCTGCAGGCCTCTTTGTAGCTTCTTATGCACTGTGGGTTGTCCATGGTTTGTGTTGAGAAACTCCAGCTTTGACTGGGTCCAGAAACCACGAGAACCCACATTTTAACAACTACCATGGTTCAGTGGCAATCTACCCCCAACTCTGGAACATGGGCCATTGTGTTATCGGGAGCCAGTAAATGAGTGTGCCTGCTCAACACAGCACCCCACACTGTGGCTCCAGCCATGGGGTGTGGGTTGCCTGCCCAAGGCCAAGGCTAGACAGCGGATGGGGGGCCACATGGCTCCTTGCCCTCCTCCGTCCCACTTGCCCTCCTTCGGTGGCCCAGGAGCACCTGTGGGGAGCGCCAAGGTTCTCCTTCCCTCCACGGCAGCGAGTCCTTTGGACCTGCCTGGACATTGCAATCGCTGCTCTCCCACTGTGGGCAGCAGGACAGCGGCAGTCTGGGTCAGAATCAGCCCAGCACGGGTCACAAGCACGGCAGTCAGGCTGGGAGGGATGACATATGAGGGGCAATTGAAGGGAACCGTGTCTTTTCCTCCTGGAGAAGGGGAAACTCCAAGGGGATCTTGGAGTGACTTGTAGGGATGTGAAGGGATGCCATGTGGAGGAAGGCCATGCCCTGTTCTCCCCTGCAGTGAGGGGCAGGGTGCGTTCCAAGGGGGCAAAGCTCAAGGAACCAGGCTTCAGGTTGGATGTCAGGAAGTACTTCCTGACAGTCAGGACCCCGAGGGCACGGAATGGGCTTCCAGGGTTGGTGGCTGAGGCCCCATCAGTGAGGGAGTTTAAGGAAAGGCTGGGCAACCGCATGTTGGGAATTGCATGAGATGAGCCGGCTGGAGCCGAGGGTCCGACAAGATGGCCCGGGAGGCCCCTTCTGACTCACTCTGTTTCTGTGTTTCTAAGCATGGCCACCCACCTGCAAGTCGGCAACAGGGCTGGAAGGCTCCCGCGTGCGGCGGGGGCAGCAAGCACGATGCCGAGGCATGGTGTGGCGTGGCAGCGACAAGCAGCAGAGCAGGAATCATCGCCGCGAGCCGGAGTGGTCACTGCTCTGCCATCCTCCCCACGGCACTGAGCCCCAGTGGGTTTGGCACAGCGGGGGGATGGGGGAGAAGGACTCAGCTGGGCCACTCTGAGGGTGGCTGCCAGTGGCCCTCGCTGGGCAGCCGTTTGGGACAGTCCCATTCTGGCCAGGGGCTTGCATGTGCAGGCCTTCCCCTGTGACCGGTTCTGCTGTCTGAGTCTGGACAACACAGCAATTCGTCACCAGTCCAACAAGCTCTGTTGCAGACCGTGGCTTGCCTTTCTAAGCCAAGAAAGAAGCCTCTCTCGGGCTTGCATGACGTGGGAGCCCACTGCGGCAGCTGACCTGCTGTGTGAACCCAGCCAACGTGTGAATGTCCTCTAGATACAACACAGCAATTGGTTAGAAGATCAAAAATAGCCTAATGAACACCTTTCTTTACATTGTGGTCATTCCCCCTCTGCTGTAAGGCTGCTGTTATTTTTGCTGTTGCCCTTGTTCTTCTTCCATGCCGCCAAGTTGTCTCCAGGTTACGGCGACCCTACGAATGAAGGCCCTCCGGATTGTCCTCTCCGGGACAGCCCTGCTCAGCACTTGCATATTCCAGGCTGTGGCTTCCTTGATGGAGGCAACCCATGTCATAATTGGCCATCTCCTCCTCCTCCTCCTCCCTTTGATTTGACATGTGTTTTCACATAGCACCTGGGCTACATCTTGCCTTAATAGAGCCCACTGATTGCTTGTTGTTGTTTTGTGCCATCAAGTTGTCTCCAGGTTATGGCGACCCTACGAATGAAGGCCCTCCGGATTGTCCTCTCCGGGACAGCCCTGCTCAGCACTTGCATATTCCAGGCTGTGGCTTCCTTGACGGAGGCAACCCACCTCATAGCTGCTCTTCCTTTTCTTCTGCCCGCAACTCTCCCTAGCATGGACTGTCCTCTCCATGATGTGCCCAAAGTATAACCGCCCGATTTCATCATTTTGGCTTCTGGAGAAAGCTCTGGCTTGCTCTGGCCCAGGTGGCACTTGTTTGTCTTTCTGTCAGTCCAGGGTATTTGCAAAGCGTCACAAGACTGGAGGCTGAAGCCAGATCAAGGTGCCCCTGCGAAGGCTCTTCCTGCCATGGCCAAACTAGGCAGGGCTGAGCGGCCTTTTCCAACCTTTCCTGTGCCTCCCAGCTGGTTCCCATGACTGCAGGGGCTCTAATCCCTGCAAGCCCCCACAGACCGGACCCCACTCCTGCAAGCACTCGTGAGGGGAACCAGGACGCCTGTCCTAACCAGCCACCCAGAACAGCAGATCTTGAGAAAAAACATGATCATGTTTAAAGGTAAAGGTTTCCCCTTGACTTACGTCCAGTCATGCCTGACTCTCGGGGGCGGTGCTCATCTCCGTTTCCTGGCCGAGGGAGCCAGTGCTTGTCCGCAGACGGTCTCCGTGCTCATGTGGCCGGCATGACTAAACACCGAGGTGCACGGAACGCTGTTACCTGCCCACCGAAGTGGCACCTTTTCATCTACTTGCATTTGCATCCTTTCGAACTGTAAGGTTGGCAGGAGCTGGGACGGAGCAACGGGGACTCACCCCGTTGTGCAGATTCGAACTGGCGACCTTTCAACCAGCCAGCCCAGCGGTTTAAACCACTGCACCACCTGCAGTCCCTGTGATCATGTTTACACTCCCTTAAATGCTGGGTTGGCTTGAGCAGTTGCTGCTCGTGTCAGTTTTACACCTGGCTTGCTTGCACAGCACTTGGGGAAGTAGCTGCAGCTGAAAGGACCAGGCTCCTGCTTGGCGTTGGATGTTGTGAGCTGGGGCTCCCCCTCCAGTGCCTTCAAAAGCCACGGACCTCTCCCCTTGCAACGCGTTCTGTATCGACCAAAAAGCACAAACACCCAGAAAGGATCTCTGAGCATGCACAGAGTGGCTTGTAATCACCTCCCGGAACTCCCCTTACGCCTTTCTTCACCCCCAGCGTTGGTAACATGAACAAGCTGCTGTGACACGATCCGAGGTCGTGAGGAAGAGCCATGCCAAGTGGCCTGCACCCGCTGGGGGTTCCAGGTTCTGCCCCTGCATCTCCCACCAACGGGATACCTGCAGTGGGGCAGGAAAGGCTTGGCTTGAGAGCTTAGAGAGTCAATGCCTGTCAAAGAGAACTGATCCAAGCAGGGAACTGCTTATGTGCTGTATCTGCAAAACAGAGGAGAAAAGAGGACGCTGAGCGACAGATGCAGCATTTGCCTATGCTGCTGTTATATGCCACTGCGTCTTCTCTGGCTTATGGCAATCCCATGAACGAGAGCCCTCCAAAATCTCCCATTCTGGACAGCCCTGCTCGACTAGTCTAAATTCAGGACTGTGGTTTCCTTGATGGCGTCGATCCATCTCATGTTTGGTTTTCTTTTTCTCCTTCTGCCTTTGGCTTTCCCTTGCATGATTGTCTTCTCCAAGAAGTGTGGCCTTCTCGTGCTGTGCCCAAACCATAACAGCCTCAACGTCTCCCCTGTTTGCTTCCAGAGCAAGTTCTGCCTTGGCGTGATCTCGGACCCGCTTGTCTCTCTGTCCATCCAGGCTGTTTGCAAAGAACTCTTCCACTGTCTTCCTGTCAGCTTTCCACCCAGCTTTTGCCTAAGCCAGCTGGCACAAAATAAATGCAACCTTGCCATTATTGTTGTCATGTAAATTTAATTTAAACAGAAATGAGATTTTATTTCAGGGAAGAGGAAAACCAGGGGACCTGCTTCATGGCTGCTTATCTTGCTGTCCGGGTGCTCACCCTGAACCAGCAGCTTCACTCAGCTGGTTCATTGTTCTTGCTGAACGAAACACACACAGAGCAGGCGATACAAGCTTCTACAAGTAGCATCAGAAATGTGCCAAAGCACTTCATTTCTGGAGCAGGGCTGATCCGCAAAGCTCTCGCCTGCATATTTCACCCATTTGCATCCTTCTGAGAATGAGAATCTCCTCTCATTTTGAATGGCTTCTAGGTTCCCATTAAAATTGGCCTTGCCAGTGTCAGTCTCCTTTCCAATGGCGAGAATGAATTATCAGGGCCCACAGTGTCTTGAACCCCAGTGTTTTTATTGGTGGGATCACCCAGGCCCCCTGCAGTGACTTATGGCAGCATGGTACTGGCTAGTGGTCTCCACCACCAACTACAAGCTCTTAGAACATGTACAGAGTGTTTTATGGGTTCTGGATCATATGACATAGTAGCAGGGTGGAAGATGACAAAATAAGGGGAATACAGTCAAAAGAATGTGAGAGATCTGGCTCAATAAAATGGCATTGATTACAAGAGATTAACATAATGATCACATAGAAGGCACCCTGGATTATTGTGGGTCTTGGCATGCAAATGAGGATGATTGCAAACCTGCTGGAAAAACTTGTCTGGCCACCTTATTAGTTTTGTTTGCTGTCAGCACAAGAATAGACTTCCCCTGGGGGGCCCTTTCTGCAAAGGCTTTTCCAACCAAAGGTAGTACCCATCTCTTAAAGGAACAGCTTTGAAATTAACACTAAATAGAAGCCTGTCTTGAAATTCGGGTACTTTCTGAGAAAGAGGTGCAGAGATGTTGCAGATTTGATATTATAACACAAAGGCACATATAACCAACCTTCTTCTCCCTGGATTTATCTGGATTTCCCGAACACCAGCATATGGGAATTTTTGGATACTGCCCTGTATCTTTCAGTAGGATTGGTACTGGGACAAGCCATCAAATACAAGACATATTTAAATGGAAGGTGGTTTTCCTGACGACCTCCAAGATAGATGAACTTGCTCTGTAAAAGAGGATATTTGGCCAGGATACACTATGTTCCATTGACTTTTAAGAATCACAGACCCACAAATAGCACAACAGTGGGATAAAGGTTTCCATCAAAAGCTCCAAGGCTTGTCTTTTGGACAAAGTTGCATGGCCCAAATGAGGGGGACAAAACATAGGTAAAGACTGATCCATGACACTTGAGCCAGATTTTGGGTTCCAGGGGGCTCACTGTCTTTGGAAACAGGGCCTTGCTGCAAACTTTCCAAGTATTTCATCAGTGGCCATCTTGGAGCTGGGCCTGGCTCTGTCGATTCCTGATTGGTTGCAAGGCAGAATGGCCTTGCTAAGCCCCAGCCAGGGGGTCAAAGTTTTAGACACAGTTCAGTTCTATTTTGGGAAGATTTCAGTCTGTAAATAAAAGTGGCACCCCTGACCACAAAGATAGAAAATGTTGCCCCAGACACACGAGGCAAAAGGTTGAGGTTGCAGCTCACAGAGCCGGGGGAGTGTCTTTCGCTGGCACAGAACCAATCCCGATCACGCTTTTCCCAGCTGGCTCTCGCTGCATAAATTGCCGCACGCACGACAGAGGATCTACCACACGCAGGTTAACGGCTTGATTTGCAGTCCAGCTGGGCCCGCAAGCCGAAGGTCTCCTTGCAGCCATGGAAGGGTACTTCTCAGCCGTCCACAAGATGGAGCAAACAGTGATGTTTCCCAGCCTCCTCCGAGGAGTCGCCTTTGAGGAGCAGGATGCCACCTTCGAAGCCGATTCCGACAGTGACAAAGACCTGTTTGAATATTTCACGCAGCTGAAAGCCATCAAGCAGGTGGTGGAGCAAGGTCTGAGGCCGCTCAACAGCCCGCTGCCCGGCAGTCTCACCCGGGTGAAAGAAGACGCTGAAGGAGAAGCAGATCTCGAAAGACTCTTTTACTACCACATCTCTGGCCTACAGCGTGTCTTCCACCAGCTGACTGGGAGAGCCAACAGCGTGACTTCCAAATACAATGAAATTCTGCAAGAGATTAACCAGAACACAATCGCTATTCACTGGTGAAACCCAAACCAGGAACTGGAAAGGTATGTAATTAGCGAAGAGGCATATTGCCAATAACCTTTGTTATTCTAGGACTGGTGTCCAGGGTAGGTATAGTTGGGGGACAGCCGAGGAGCCATACCACTGTAGGGGCCACTGGCAAGAGTTCCCGGGCATTGCTCTTCCTCCTCTCCACTGCAACCGGCTGGACCGCCTGCATCTTGCTCTGGCCCAGACAACGGTGGTGGTGAGAAGAGTGGCAGGAAATGCCTCAGCTTGCTTGCTTGCAGGCTCTCTGCCTGCCCAGCAAGCAAGTTGGTGCCATGATGAGGAAGAGGAGGAGGAACAATTGCAGCTGGCGACCAGGTGATAAGGAGGTGTACTTGCAACAGCCGTGGCCCATTGAGGATGTTAGTGTGATTCCCTAGCACCACTCCTCCAAATTTCATAGGAAGCATAGAAGCACATGTGAAAGATGTTCCAGAAAAAGTACCGCTGTATGGATCCAATTGGCTGCTAGCTAGACACTCCTCTCTTTTGTGATCACAGGGCAAGTCGGATGTCTGTCCTCGACTGTCTGAAGGAACAAGCCCCCTCTGAAGAAATGGCCAACCCAAGACATCTGGAATGTCAGCTGGCTGAACCATACAGTGTACCAGCAGTAATGCCTTTTTTCAAGCACTGATAAATATTATTGTTATTTTTATTATTTATATTCACATGGGCCAGACATGGTTATGTGTGGTATGTTATTGCAGTTTGAAATTATGTATAATTTAAGGGGTGGGGGAAATAAGACCTTTCGTATCACTGTCGATGTTGCTAACTGTGGCAAGGACCTCAGAATACAACAAATAAAACTGCTTTTTTAAATTAAAGTATTATTATTATTACTGCCACTGAATCAATCCATTAAATTTCTGTACCGCCCAGTAGCTGAAGCTCTCTGAGTGGGTCATGCTAGGAGTTGTAGTTCAACACATCTGGACAGCTGTTTTATAGCAAAAGTACACCAAAGCATGCATTTATAGATCCCAGAAAAGTGCTTTCTATAGGTCAAACTGACCTCACCTATTAGGTACCATTGCCTACAGTCCTATGCAAGTTTGGAGAGCTGTAAGACCACTTTTTATCAAACCTTGTAGAGCATTGTACCGAACGAGAATTCTTGCAAGTTTTAAAAAAAGTTTCTATCCTGTAATTTCTGACCCAAGAGGAGCCCAAAGCAGTTTCCAACATAGTAAACACCTGTACAGACTGCCAGGAAATTTTGCATTGTGTCTCCAATTGTCCAAAGGACTGGGGTCTAACCAGCTGGAAACAAGAACTGCCAGCGAGTTTGACAGGTCAGGTTTCCCTGTTCTCTCTTCATCCTGCTTTGTCATCCATCCCACAACTTATATTTCAATATTCTGCTCACCCTCGACGTTTACAAGCCTTTGTCAGTCCATTTATGGTCGGGTGGGGGTTTAGAAACATCTGGACTAATGCATATTTGGGATTCTGCTAAGCATGTAGAAGCTGGAAACGTATTTTTGGGTGGCCCATTTTGCTGCCAAAGTGATGGGCACTGCTCTCTCCGAGTGTTTATTATATGGACTGGGACAACACTGATGCAAAGAAAACCCCATATAAGAAATATTCGCTCAAGTTCTCCTAGAAATGCAAAGTTCCAAGGGTGCAGGGCTTAGCTGGATTAGGTTTCAATTGCAAAGAGGTCACTGAGAACTTATTTCTTCTAATATTCGCATTTATGTACAAATATCACAGCTGGATATAAGTCGGGGTACAGCATTAAGCACTCTGACATACTCTCCTATGTCCTAAAGTTCAGCACTTTCATACTGAACCTCCAAACTCTTTGGAGGAAATGTAGAGAACATCTGAGACGTTGTTTCCAATCTGGTGTCCTTCAGCTGTGTTGGACAGTTAATTCTATCATCTTCAGGAAGCTTGGCTAGTGTCTACATGGGCTCGGGATGATGGGAGTTGTAGTGCAATGCATCTGCAGGGCACCAGGTTGAAGAGTAGGCATTTTAGACATTTGGTTATTTATCTGTGCGTGCATTCAGTTTATATTCCACCCTTCTAGCAAAAGCATTGTCAACCTAGTTAACAATACAGATACCAATTAAATGCAAACCCAGTTTGGTTTAGTGGCACTGGGGGAGGCCAGGACTGGGAATTCAGGTCCCACATAGCCGTGATGCTCAGTGGGTAATTTTGGGCCAGTCACTGGCTTTCAGGCTAGCCCACCTCACAGGGTTATGGTGAAGACAGATGGAGAGGAAGAGGATCCTGTATGTCACCTTGGTCTCTGAGGTGATATATAAAAGATGGGACATAACATTTAAGCAGATTCTTGATTAAAAGCAGAATAGAAAAGCAATGCATTAGAAGCACAAATGAAAGCAAGAAAGGAAGAGCTTCATGGGGGGAGTAGGGTTCCTTCCGGAATTGCATTCCCAAGCTATTTAAGCTTGTAGGCCTGTCTCTGAACTGGGAATGGAGGCAAGAGCAATGCTCAGCTCAGGCATCAAACATCTCAAAGGACAATGGTCGGGCCGGCAGCTTTGCACTGCCATTTCCGAAAGGCTTCCAAAGGTGGTCCCATGTACAGTGCACTGCCGTAGTCCAAGCTGGGCGACCAAGACTCTAGCAAGAGAAAAGCCAACCTTCCCCACTGGCACATCCAGCCTGGCTCCAGGTTTCTGAGGGTCGCTGGGCAAGACACCCTGAATGGTCCCCATCCTCAGGGAGCCTCCCAGCTCCTGTCCCCCCCCCCTTGCTTTGCTACCCCTTCCTGGCTTGACTGGCAGAGACCAGCCTTAAGGAGGCCTGCTCAAGGGGCCTGAAATTTGGGGCCGGCACGGCTGACGGATATGCGTGCCTTCAACCCTGAGACTTCCAGGTCTGGGCAGGAGGCAAATTCCCCTTCCCCAGCTGGGAACTGGCTGCCTCAGACGAGCAAGCGTGTGTGTGTGCAGAGCGCTTCCCAACAAAGTGGTCGGAATGGGAGATCCCTCTCTGGAGAGATGCAACTTTCCGGCCTCTCTGCTGAAAAGGAAGCTGTTTGCTAAACGACTGTGCTGTTGAGGTCGAATAAAAGAAACAACAGCACCCTTTTCTGGATCTGGTCCCGTCAAAGAATAAAAAGTTGTGGAGCTGAGCAAATCACAGGAGCCACATGTAGGGTCCATGTCTGTCCCGGGGTCCCAGCAAATCCCTGCTCCTGCTTTTGCCTTTGGGGTAAGCTCGGCGAAAATGTTGTTAGCGGGAGAGGCGCTCTTGCTTCAGGGCCCACCTCCTTTTCTAGGGTCTATAGAAGCTAAAAACTCCAAGAGGTTAAGATTACGTCCTCCAAGGAAGACCAAAGGTCTATGTTGTCGAACGCTGTGTGCGCACTGGCCAGCTGGTGCACCACGGGAAGCCCGCAAGTAGCACATGGATGCACAACTGCGCTCTTGCACGTGCTCCCTCGCGAATGGCGTACAGAGACCTCCTGCCTCTTAACTCCACTCCCCCCGAGAGCCACGGCCCCCACCCCGCCCCGCCCCCTCCTCCTCTTCCTCCATGTGTTTGTTGAATCCTTTTTTTCTTTTCTGATTTATATCCTGCCATTATCCTACAAAGGGCTCAAGGCAGCTTACATCTCCTCCATCTTATCCCCACAACAACAACCCTGTGAGGTAGGTTGGGCTGAGAGTCTGTGACTGGCCCAAAGTCACCCAGTGGGCTCCATGGCCGAGCGGAGACTCGAACCCGGATCGCCTGAGTCCCAGTCCCGTGCTCTTAACCACTACACCACACCGGCTCTCAATGAATGCTATCTTTGAATGCTATCCAAATGCTATCCTTTGAATGCTATCCTTTGAATGCTATCCAAACTGGTGGCCAGCACTGTGTCTTGTGACAGCAAGTTCCAGTTTAAAGACACCTGCTGTGAAGTAGTACTTCCTTTTCCCTGTCCTAGATCGCCTACTCTTCCACTTCCTTGAATGGCCCCAGGAAGAGCAGAGAGGAAGAAAAATCTCTCCCGCTGCAGTTTTTCCACACCAGGCATGATTTTGTACAAATGTTATCCATATAATGAGCCCTTTCCAGTTCTATTGCACAAAGCAATAGAACATACTTTGCGAAAAGTATGTTGCAAAGAAGCAACAGCTGCCTCGCTTGGCCAACAATTAGTCAGCTTACACAATTTATTAAAGAGACACTGCATTGACAACATAGAAACAGAAACGGAGCGAGTCAGAAGGGGTCTCCTGGGCCATCTAGTCTGACCCCTGGCTCTAGCCGGCTCCACTCCTGACATGCCTCCCATGTGCATGTCTAGCCCATCCTTGAACACCCTCCTTGATGGGGCCTCAACCACCTCCCATGGAAGCTCACTCCATACCCTTGGGGTCCTAACCGTCAGGAAGTACTTCCTGGCATCCACCCTAAATCTTGGTTCCCTGAGTTTTGCTCCATTGGAACACGTCCTGCCCTCCACTGCAGGGGAAAAAGTCATCCCCCACCTCTGCGTGGCACCCCCTTCTCTCCAGGCTGAAGAGACCCAGCTCCCTCAGTCTCTCCTCGGATGGCTTCCCCTGAAACCAGGCATCACCCTAGTGACCCTTTGCTGCACTGATTCCAACCTTGCTTCAGTATATCACAGAAGTGAGTACACCCCTCACATTTTCTAAATATTTTATTATATCTTTTCATGTGACAACCCTGAAGAAATGACACTTTGCTGCAATGTAAAGTAGTAATACAGCTTGCATAACAGTGTAAATTTGCTGTCCTTGCAAAATAACTCAACACACAGTCATCACTGTCTAAACCACTGGCAACAAAAGAGAGTACACCCCTAAGTGAAACTGTCCAAATTGGGCATTATTAGCCATTTTCCCTCCCCAGTGTCATGTGATAGTGTTACAAGGTCTCAGGTGTGAATGGGGAGCAGGTGTGTTAAATTTGGTGTTGTTTAATTTGCTCTCACTCTCTCATACTGGTCACTGGAAGTTCAACATGGCACCTCATGGCAAAGAACTCTCTGAGGATCTGAAAAAAAGAATTGCTGCTCTACATAAAGATGGCCTAGGCTATAAGAAGATTGCCAAGGCCCTGAAATTGAGCTGCAGCGTGGTGGCCAAGACCATACAGCAGTTTAACAGGATAGGTTCCACTCAGAACAGGCCTCGCCATGGTTGACCAAAGAAGTTGAGTGCACATGCTCAGCATCATATCCAGAGGTTTGCTTTGGGAAATAGACGTATGAATGCTGCCAGCATTGTTGCAGAGGTTGAAGGGGTGGTGGGTCAGCCTGTCAGTGCTCAGACCATACGCCACACACTGCATCAAATTGGTCTGCAGGGCTGTCATCCCAGAAGGAAGCCTCTTTTAAAGATGATGCACAAGAAAGCCCGCAAACAGTGTGCTGCAGACAAGCAGACTAAGGACATGGATTAGTGGAACCATGTCCTGTGGTCTGATGAGACCAAGATAAACTTATTTGGTTCAGATGGTGTCAAGCGTGTGTGGCGAAAACCAGGTGAGGCGTACAAAGACAAGTGTGTCTTGCCTACAGTCAAGCATGGTGGTGGGAGTGTCATGGTCTGGGGCTGCATGAGTGCTGCCAGCACTGGGGAGCTACAGTTCATTGAGGGAACCATGAATGCCAACATGTACTGTGACATACCGAAGCAGAGCATGATCCCCTCCCTTCGGAGACTGGGCCGCAGGGCAGTATTCCAACATGATAACGACCCCAAACACACCTCCAAGAAGACCACTGCCTTGCTAAAGAAGCTGAGGGTAAAGGTGATGGACTGGCCAAGCATGCCTCCAGAACTAAACCCTATCGGCATCTGTGGGGCATCCTGAAATGGAAGGTGGAGGAGCGCAAGGTCTCACCAGCTTTGTGATGTCGTCATGGAGGAGTGGAAGAGGACTCCAGTGGCAACCTGTGAAGCTCTGGTGAACTCCATGTCCAAGAGGGTTAAGGCAGTGCTGGAAAATAATGGCGGCCACACAAAATATTGACACGTTGGGCCCAATTTGGACAGGTTCACTTAGGGGTGTACTCACTTTTGTTGCCCGCGGTTTAGACACTGATGGCTGGGTGTTGAGTTATTTGAGGGGACAGCAAATTCACACTGTTATACAAGCTGTATTACTCACTACTTTACATTGCAGCAAAGTGTCATTTCTTCAGGGTTGTCACATGAAAAGATATAATAAAATATTTACAAAATGGGATGGGTCTACTCACTTCTGTGATATACTGTACATCCCGCTTGTAATGAGGGGCCCAGAATTGAACACGATACTCCAGTTGTGGGCGCATTTTGACTTCTTGCGTTACGCATCCTCCATTTCTAAACAGCTTAACACCTGTCTTTTGGGAGCAGCCTATAAAGTGCAAAGAAAAAGAACTAGGGTGGGAACTCCACACATATCAGTAGTTGCAAGATGAAACAGGTATATTGAATTTTTAAAAGGCAATTTTTTGAAGTTTCACAGAGCAGGCAATGTAAGCACATGATCAAAAAAAACCCACCCATTTTCAAGGTAAGTCAACAGGGTTTCAGGTCATGCTGCACTGCCTCTTCAAAAAACTTGTGGCATCCAAGGCAAAGAAGAGCAAGGCAGCCAAGATGTGCAAATAAGGGAGGTCTGTTTGAACAGGGAGATAAGTTGCAGCAACGACTTGCAATGGCAGGCCACCATTTCATCATCAGTTGCTGCAAACATGAAAGATGCTCACGCAGCCTCGGTGAGAGGAGTCAGGCGCAGAAGCATATTGCCAGATGTCAGTCCCCTGACAGATCAGACCTGTCAGTGGAGGAAACAGGAAACTTCCCAAGACATCAGGATGTGAAGGCCTGGGGGAGAAACTTTTTCAAAAAGACCCATGAACATTCATTTTTTCCGAAGGGATCCACACCTCAACAGAATAAAACCCTTGGTCGATAGGCCAATATTGTCAACACTGAAAAGCAGAGGCTCTCCAGGCAGGATTCCTCCCAGCTTTACCGAGATACTGAGTCTGGGACCTTCTGCATACACAGATATACCCCCTGCTTAATGGTTGTGCTTGGAAAGCTCCATGTGCATTGGAATTCTCTTTTGTGTTCCCAGGCATCCGGTACGTTCCCCGTTTAACCCTTGTCAGCCTCCTGCCACATGGTGCACTCCAGGTGTTTTCAAATACCAGCTCCCAGCACTTCTGAGCACTGGTCATGCTCACTGATGAAAGCCTACGTCCAAAACTAACTAGAGAGGCGGCTGGGGAACTAATAGGGTTGGGGCTATGTACTGCATAATTCGTAACCTCCACATAACCTGAATTGAACCTGATTCAAAACGTTTTCTGCTCTGGCTACTCCACCGTTTTGTTCAGCTGTTCAGTCATGTCTGACTATAAGTGATCTTATGGGCCAACTCTTGCCACACTTTCCAGTCCCGTGCCACCTGTCTCAGCTGAATGATGCTCTGGCCCGCATCCTCTTTGATGACGCCTCACCATCTCACTCTTCGGCGACCTGGTTTTCTCTTGCCACTGAGCATTCCTAGCATTCTATCTTTTCTAATGAGCGTGATCGCATGACGTGGCCAAAATACGCGAGTCTCAGCTTTGTTATGACTTAATCTGCTCCAGCGCCTGCTTGTTCGTCACCCCTCTGTCCATGGAATGAGTGGGAGCCTCTGCCAACACCACGGTTCAAGTGAGTCAATTTTCCTCTTGTGTAGCTTTTCACTGTCCAACTTTCACAACCATAAGTTGCAATAGGAAAAATAATCACTCAGACCCATCTGCACTTGGTCGCTGAGCTGATGTTCTTGTTTTTCCACACCGCTTGTCATTGCCATACGACCTAGTGAAATTCGTCGCTCTATTTCTGGACTGCATTCGCCCCTGCGAGTAATCAGTGATCGCAGGAAAGTGAATCCCTCTACACCCACCCACCCCCCAAAACAAGGGAACCAGGCTGTACTCAGTCATAGCTTTTAATGATAAGATTGCAGTCTACATGTTTAAATCAGGATCCCGTCCCAACTGCTGATGTACATTATATGCAAGTCCCATGCAAGAGGCTCGCGCTGGGACAAGAAATACGCACACACATCATTGAGCGAGACAGTAGCCACTCACAAAGTCTTCAGCGAACGGGATAGAAGTCCTCCAGAACTTCTGCCATAGTTTTCTTTTCTAACAAAAGAGAGAATACCAAAAAAAGTTTCAGTGGAAGACAGACAGAAACACCAGTGTATGCAGCCCTATGAAAATCGCAAAAACAAGAACATGCACTAAGGTGACCTTCCAAACCTTCAGCATCCCTACCCCGACTGGGGATGACAGGAGCTGTTCCACCAAGGAAGTATCCATGCGAACCTTAGATTCCTTCACCCCCTTGTGGTGATTTCATGCTACAGAACAGGGTTGCCAAGACCAATTTTCTTCCAGGTTACCAGAAAGGGAAACTTTACAAACAGAATAGAGACATTTCAGTAAATGAATCAGATGGTTTGTAAGCAAGCTCTTGACCATTTTTAAACCCTTGATACAGGTATGATTTCCTCTTGATCTTGCAGGATATTAGAGCAAACACCCAATTCAACCAGCAGAGAGCCAGCACCTGCTGTCAGAAGCCCATTCTTAATACTATCAAGTTTTGTCCCTGCCTATTATACCGGCACCACCAGAACAAAAATAGTCACAAAAACCAAACCCGTCTGCTTTTAGTCTGGGTAAAGCTTTCACTGGTTGATCTACTGATGAAGGAAGGCACAATCAGCAACACCAGGACTGACTGCCATCCCATTTGCATCTGCCGGTACATACCAGAAATTACGTGTGCTATTCATGCCCTGCCTTTTCCTCTGAGGAGCCCCTGAACACGTTCTCCAGAACAACCCTGTGGGGCAGGCCAGGCTGAGAGGGCCTGACTGGCCCAGGCACCCAGCAGGCTTCATGGCTGAGAGGGGACTCTAGCCCAAGTCTCCCCAGTTCTAGCCCAAGGCTGACCACCATGACACACACAATATTTCCCCAGGTGAGCGTGTGGGCAGAGCCAGCTAAAGGGTTTGAAAGGGTTTAATTGGCAGCATTGCCTTCCAATCTCCGGATGCATAGATGGACATCCCATTGCCATATCTTATTATGGTATTTCAAGGTCTATTGCCTTGATTAGTGCCTCAACTATAACTTTACCACCTTAACTGTTGAAAGGTTTACAGAACGCAGAAAGCTTCTGTCTAATATTTAAACTCTATTATCTGTTATACCTCAAAGTTTAATTTAGGTTAGAAACACAGTATGTTAAAAAAAAGATTATCACCTGTCCTCTAAAGATCTATTGTCCTGACTACAGACAGAGAAATCACTGCTCCATTTCTCAACAAGCCAATTCCACACCAGGAGCTACAAGGACAGTTTGTCCAGAAATTGGCAATAATTAGGGAAAAACCACATCTCTGGTCCTTGAAACATCCCTGAAACTCAGGACAAGTCAAGTTTCTATAAAAGCAAACCAAAGTCCTGGAGAGGGCAATCTGTGATTTCTTGCTCATGTGTATTATGCTAAGATGTCAGTCCATCATTAAGTACAGCAACAAAATGTGGTTTTGTTAATTTATTAATGTGGTTTTAAATTTTTAACATAATGCAATACCGTTTTTATTGTTTTAAAGTTATTGTTGTTCACCATCCAGAAAGTTTCAGCTATTTGGTAGCATGGAAATAAAAATAATATTTTGCTATCACTGACTTCTTGAACTGATTCTTGTCTTCCTGCAGTCTCATATATGTAATTTTTAAATAGTAATCCAATGCTGACTTGTGATTTTGCTATATTGTGAGACACATGAAGGCCAGATTTTTAAAGAAAATTCTCACTTGTGTATTGGTTCTTGCTGCTTGATTGCTCCTGCAACTGGCAGGAAGAGCTAAACAAACCAGGGACTTCTGCTGAGAGTGACATCCAAGCCAGAATGGACTCTGGTTTTCTTATCAAGCCAGATTCATAAACCAAAAACAACCCATGGCTTGTGACTCTGGCTGTTATTCCAGGTGGTGATGTCAAGCTAAACAAGTCACAGACATGGAGTGTTGTCCTCTGAGGGAGAAAGACAAGCCCTACCCCACCCTTCAGCAACTTCCAGTTCATAGCCAGAAGCAACCAGTCAAGCTTGACTTTACCACATTAACAGGGGAACATCCATAACTTAGGCAGTTGAAAGACTAAAGGCGCAACACAAGAAATGCCCTTAGAGGCATTCTCCTCACAACAGGCTCCGGAGATCAGCCACTCTATGATTTTTCAGACAGGAATCCATGGTCAAGAACAGCAACTTTTAAACCTAGCTTTCCTAGGACCATGACCATGATTGGCTGAAAAGGATTGTGTGCCTCACAAAAATGGACTTACTACGGATGGAATTTTGAAAGCTCCTCAAGGCAGAGAATGATTATCTGCTTCCATTACTCTGGAAAAGCACCGCTTATGTCACTCGAATTAAACAAATAGGTAGTGCTTAACATTTTTTATTCAGGAATGTAGATGTAACTATGGTTAAATGGTAATTATATTTTGATATTAACACATGTGTGGTTTATAGATCAGGTGGGCAAATATTTGATTAACAACCTGCCCCTGCATCTGCTAATCTGCTTTATTATTTTCTTTGGTTACTGTTTTAAGTTGTCTACCTTTACTGTAGTTACTATTACTTTGTACTGTTTTTCCATTGTGTTTTTTTATTGTACACAATCTTTGGTAAGCTCTCTGCATCTCTGCATTAACAAAAAAAGAGGAGAAGAGGAATAACTAACACCCTCCTCTAACAGCAAGCTCAGGTGCTAGAAACTGAGCCAAAACAATGCCACTTGAGAAACAAGAAGGAAGTCTTATCATGCTGGGGGAAGTCAAAGGTTTACAGAAGTACAAAAAATGTTAAAAAATCAAAGGGGGCAAAATTTCCGAAAAACAGCCCAGGGAAGACGATGCATGCTCAGTAGCCAAGGAAGGCTGAGAGGCAGCAGAAAACAACAGTGGAAAACTAGTGGGCTGGACGGATGTGTGGAACGGAGCATCCTAAATGAGGACAGGACTGGCCAGCATCCTGCAAAGAAGCATTCCTATCTGGGGGATGAGAAAATAACTACAAGATTTTGTTGCAATTATGCTATTGGCATGACTTCCCTAATGAATTTCATCTGCTGCAGCAGCACAGTTTGGGCAATGAAATAACTTTAACAACTGCTTTGTATGAGCCCGACTGTTGAGGGGCTGCACACCATCAGCTCTTGTGGAAGCTGTGTAACATAAATTTATAACATTTATTTATAAAATAAATAAAAACAAACAACATAAATGTACCTTGCTTTACAAAATCCTCAGGATGATGCCTTATGTACTCTGAAATCTCTCTGTCTCTCTTAGCAAATGCATAATTGGATCGTTTAACAAGGTAATGGCCAATATAAAAGCCCACCGATGCCCACAGAATTTGGCGATGAACACCTAGAACACAAGGACAAGGAAAAAGAAAGAGTGACGCCTGGCCGGTAAGTTAACAGGCATCTGCATACAGCTGCTTTAATTTTGTTTTTAATAAAGGAAATAAAGACTTTTGGAAGAAAAGCCAAAATTTATTTATTTATTTATTAAAACATTTCTATGCCGCCCCATTCGCCGAAGCCTCGGGGCGGCTCACAACATAAAATTAAAACATAATACATACAACAAATTAACAATATAAAATAAGTCGCCCTGGCCAGATAAAATAAGCGAATAATATTAACAATTAAAATGACGTTTAAATAAAAAGGTCTTCGCCTGGCGCCGAAAAACAAGTAACGACGGCGCCAGGCGGACCTCTCTAGGGAGTGCATTCCATAGATTGGGCGCCACCGCAGAGAAAGCCCTCCTCAGAGTACCTATCCTCCTAATTTCTTTCACGGAGGGTTCCCGGAGAAGGGTCTCTCCTGCAAATTGTGCCACACAGCACCAAATCAGCAAGAATTACCTGTCCCCTTTTATCTGCATTATTTGGGGTTTCACACAGGAAACATACTGAGCCCCCTTATCCCATTGTCTCTCCATTGTAACCTCCCTGTTGGAGCATGCAGTCTTTTTTCTTCCCCAGCGCACTCTGGCCCTGCCCACACCATGCAGCTTTTGCTTCTCTTTATCACCTCACTAGTTTTTCCTAAGAAAGTAGGAAGTTGCTTTACAGCCACTTGGACTATTTGTCCACCTAGCCTAGGCCTTCCCACTCCACTGCTTCCAGTCTAGGGTCTCAGGCAGAGAAAATTCTATCAGCTGCCATCTGAACCATGGCAATAGCAGGCCCTGGAACTTTCTCCATGCAAAATGGTTGCTATACTCCTCTAGAACTCCCAGTGAACAGATGATAAAATAGCAGGTTTTAAAAAACATGGCAACACCCAATGAAAATGCTCAGTTATGGCTAAGATGAAAAGGTAAGACTCTAGGATCTGTCTGAAGACCTATAGTGTTAGTGCCTGTCAGAGTTAATTGGAGCAGAATTACAAAAGTAGGGGGCCACTATTTAAAAGGTACAGTCCCTCAAGGCCACCAACCTGACTGACATGCACATGGTAGGCATGGCTGGAGCTGGGGTCAGACGAGATGGTCTGGGAGACCCCTTCTGGCTATGTTTCCAATTGGTCTTACAGACAGGCACACACCCAGGGCCTCTGAGGTTGATCTCAGAATGCAGGCAGATTGTTATGGGTGAAGACGTTCCTTCAGGTAATTTGCTCCCAAACCAGGAAGGCTTCAAGGATAATCCCAGCATTTTGAATTTGGCTTGAAAGGCAGAATGTCACAAAGCAAGCAGGTCCTTGCATTGGCTCCTCCTCTTTCTTGTTGCAGGTGAACAAGAAGGATGCAGTGCTAAAGAAGACAAGCAACTGCAGCAATTGCATTACAAAGGCAAATGCTGCCCTGCTTTCCTCTGGTTCTTCTCCTCGGGGTCCAAACCCCAAGCCCTGTCCTTTATTAAGGACAAAGGGGGCTCGCCTCAAGCAACAACAGCACTCTGTTCCTCTGTTGCAAGTCAGCCTCAGCAGAAACAGCCGCCCCCTCCTCGCCTTGCACCTGGTCCTCATAGGTGCACTGGTTCTGGGAACGGGGGCTGTTTAGCTATGCGTCCCTTCATGAGTGGATCTGGCCCTGCGTGAAAAGTCCATCCGTACCTCTCGCTCCCCCCCACCCCCCTCTATTTCGAAAACCACGCCGCGGCCCTCCACAAACCAGAGCGGGCCTCTGAGCATGCACGGAGTGACTTCCCCCCGCATTCCTCCCGCTCCGAGAACTTAATAGCGAGGGGGGCCTCCCGGCGGGCGTGACTCCCGCCCCTCCCGCTCGACTGACCCGCGGCCAGGATAGGCCTCCTGTTGAGGCCGTTCTCGATCAGGGCGCCGCTCCAGCCCACGAAGGCCATCCAGACCGAGACGAAGCTGAACAGCGGCGGCGGCGGCAGCGACCGCGCCTCGTCCGGCAGCCGGAGCCAGAGATGCATGGCGCCGCAGGGGAGGACGAGCGAGGGGGACCCCGCGGAGCCGCACGAAGACGCCGCGGCGGCAGCAGCGCCAACTCCCGGTCCAAGGGCACCGCGGTCCGGCCGCGATTCCGTCCCCGCGGCGCGCGCGCCCCGCACGAAGGTTCCGCTCGCTTTCGTTCCGCACGAAGGTTCCGCGCGCTGTGCAGGAGACCCTCTGGCCCAGCGCCCTGCAGCCCAGGGGCAGCGGCGGAAATGAAGGTGCGGGGCTCTGCGGGTCGCCGATGCCCCCCCGGATGAACCGGCTTTTGGCCCAGGGCTCCTTCCTGATGCCTCTCCTGGAATCTTTCTGCCTGCGATTTCCCCCTCAAATCATGGACCCTCCTCTCTCTCGCCCATGCATCCCTCATGTTTGCAAATAAGCTGTCCTTACGAGACTGGGTGCTTTAAAGACGGGCAGCTGCACTGGAGCTTAAGAGCATGTGCAGAGTTGTTTACTCGCAAAGTCGTGCCCGACCCACCACGACCCCGTGGACAACATTCCTCCAGGCTCTCCTGTCCTCCACCATCCCCTGGAGTCCACCCAAGCCCACACCCACCGCCCCAGTGACCCCATCCAGCCTCCTCACTTACGGAGTAGCAGGCGCAATTTTGTGCATCTCTTCTACCCTGCGTCCTCAGCTCGGATCCTAGCATCGCTGCTGCCCCGGAATGCTGGACACACGCATTGACATGGGGCACCCCACGTTTTTGAGGGGGACCCTGGCTTTGTTGCCAAGCCCCACCAGATCACAGCTCTGATGGAGTAAGCCAAAGCAGCAGTCGCGGCGATCCAATCTACATGGACTCTCAGCAGCTCTTTCGTGGTTATTTCTGGCCTTGCTGAGCAACTCGGTGCCATCCAGAGGCGCTTATTTCTGCCCTGGCTCTTTTCCTCTATGCTTCCAAGTCCTTTCCCTGCTTTTCTCCGGACAACCATGTGAGATGGGTTGGGACTGCAATTTCCATCATTCCCAACCAGCATGGCCAGTAGTCGTAGCCTTACACATTTGGAGAACACCATATTGGAGATGGTGAAACTAGATACAACGGGGGTTGTAGTTTGGACTTAGCTCTTACACAAGGTAGTTCAATGTAACCGCAAAGATAGTTGCAGTCCTGCCACCCCAAATGCTTTCAGCTAGAGTTGTGAGTTAAAAGAATGAGTGGCTGAAAGAAATAGTGTCAGAATCCCGGAATCTCAATTTGAGAAGAGGGAATAAAACTTGGGTTCGTGGGAAAGACCAAGCATCCAGACCATCTGAGGCTTTATTGTTTTACCCCCAAGGTTCCCGTGGTACACTCACGATAATGCATGCATTACCGGGCAGGCAGAGATGAACTCTGCTGCAAAGCTTCAACACCATTACAGGGCATTTATGGGGACACAGGTACAGGGCAATCGATGACAGAATGCAGATTACAATAAGATTCCGAGGTCATCACATGCAGAACAGATAAAGAAATGTCAGTCAATCACACAGTAACAATGAGATTAGTATTGACACTTTAGTTGATTAACTTGAACCCATCTCCAGGTCTGCTCAGACATGCAAATTCAAGCCACTAGAAACTATTCATGATAAGCTCAGACCCTTATCTCTAAAACATTCTGCATGATCAGGGCACATGAAGCCCTCTGGGCTATCAAAAGATTATTGTAAACTGAATTCCAACAATGACTATTTATAATGTATATTTGGGCTAAAATGGCCTACTGTAGCGTACAGCTAAAGGTGAGAGAAAGGAGCTGGGGAATGCCATTTTAAACAGTGACAGCTTGGTTTTGAGAAGGAAGACAGGATTTGATCCCACAATGCAAAGGCACACAGGAGTAATGCTTTTCAGACAGGATTTACCCAAATTTTCCCAACAATAGGAACTTGATTTGGGAGGCAGAGGTACTGTTGGTGGAGTGTTTCATCTACAGAGCAAAGCTCAGCCTTTTCTGGGCATTCTTGGTGTATTCCTAGCCCCAAATCAAGCACACAGCTTCAAGCATCAGTTCTACTCCTACACCCAGAAATGTTTGTAGTAGCTAAAGTAATCACAAGTGTCTCTGACTGACTTTGACTGGTGTGCCAATCACATCTCTTCTTGGGAAAGTCAGATTCCAAGGTTACGCATGGGTTGCTCATCTCCAAGCTGCTCCCAAAAGGTTTTTAAAAAAAGGTTTAAAATTCTGCTGCTGCCACATCGGTGAAGCACTGCAGAGCTTCAGTGACTTAATAGGCCAGGAAGGACTTCCTGACAGTTAGGACCCCTAGGATAAGGAACGGGCTTCCAGGGGAGGTGGTTGAAGCCCCAGTGGTGAGGGTACTGGCGCCGGGGATCAGACTAGATGGCCTGGGAAGCCCCTTCTGACTTGCTATGTTTCTGTAGCTAATATAGTCGAGACTTGCATTGATGGCCTGTTTGCAGGGTCAATTCGAAGTTCTGGCTCTTTCATATGAACTGGAATTCAGTTGGAACTTGGGTACATGTCATTACCTACCCAAATGATACACTCCCTTTAACACACTCCCTTTAACAAATGAGGGGAGTCAACGTGGTGTGGTGGTTAAGAGTGTGGGACTGGGACTCAGACAATCTGGGCTCTAGTCCCTGCTCAGTCATGGAGCCAACTGGGTGACTGGGCCAGTCAGAACTTACAGGGTTGTTGCTGTGAGGATAAGATTGAGAGGAGGATAATGATGCAAGCCAGGAAAGAAAGGCAGGCAGGCAGGCAGGCAGGCAGGCAGGATATAAATTTGCCTTTAGATTAAATAATCCAGGTGCCCCTGCCAATTGTATTTTTAGCAGGAGCAATTTTCCAAGGGAAGCACCCACTTTATGGAACATCTTGCTCCAGTTCTTCCCGACATGGTGTGAATTTTGGCACCAGGTGAAAACCTCTTTCAGAAATGTCTGAAACTAGTTTTTGGTATTAATCATTAGTTTTCCTTTATAGGTTGCTGCTTATTGCTAGTTCCTGTGATTTTTCTGTTATTCTAGGTTTAGGTTTACTGCTTGATACTGTTTCTAATATTTATTTCAAGCTTTTATATCCCTCCCTTCACAGTGTCTCAGGGCGGAAATACAATAAAATACATGAGTTTTTTCAGCTGAGTTTATACCCAAAGAAAAGCTGGTATGGTTAAAATTTATATACAAGCATTTTAATGTGTTTGTGCATGTTCAACACACACGACAGGTAACTTTGAGCTTTGGCATTTCCCAGGATGTGTCCTCCTGTCCCAGCAGAGAATCCCAGTGGCCACAGAATGCTTTGGGATCTCCTTTCCAAGGCCAGTCTCTGCTCTGAGCTCAGTTAGACCTGGCTGCTTCCTAAAACTGCAAACATGGCCATGAAGGAAGGAAAAGGGGTGAGTGCAGTGGAGTGGACTGGAGTAGAGTGGAGTAGGGTAGGGTGGAGAGCATCCAGAATATGAAGAACCCTGTGGTATTTCCTGCCCCAATCCCACCAGCTTCAGAGACTGTCTACAGTCCAGAAATCAGACACATTGGTGCAAACTGTCCTCATCTTCCTCCTACCCGGCTTGCAGGGTCTCAGGGCACTGGATTCACAGACGCCTCCATCTTCAGAGGCTTCCATCTCACCCAGGTGTGCTCCACAAGATGGCACCATGAGCAGTTGCTTACCAGCCAATGGCACTTTGCACCTTTGCCTGTGAACATGGATGGTCCATGCAGCATCTAAAAGTTCTATGCGCCATCAATATTTATTGTATAAAAACAGAAGCACAGGTGCAGAGTGATACCCATCTGCAACTGTTTTTTCCACAAGCAAGTCTCCGTATAAAAGTATTTTATTCACATCTTTTACCATGCATGATTATAATAAAGTTTCCATTCTGGAGACGAGCAATCCTGTTGTTCAAGTAACCTTCAGGGTATGAGCAACTATGGACCCATTAAGATAACCAATATTTCGTTCAGATCAAACTGAAAGTTAAAAAGGAAACTCCAATTCCATTTTTAACGTCCGATTTAAAAGTCTTGTTGTAAACTAGGCTTGTAAGCTCACAAACCACCTCCTTCTCACCCTGAAAATTGTCCAGGATTCCTTAACTGTATTTGCAGAACACTTTCTTCCTCCAGGACCTTCAGAGAAATGGGAGCATTTCTGAAGCAGGACGGAGCAACCTTAAATGAACCGGACACAGTGCTGTGATGCAGCTGCCACCACGATTTCAGACAATTTGATTTTTTGGAAGGATCCCTGAGGACATAGTCTGTTGTAAACACCCTCATTCCCCTTTTCGCCTGATGGCTGGTGGTCCCACGAAGGCAGAGATGTACAATTTGACCCATGCATACATGATGCCCAGAGCACAATAAACTGAAGTGAGCAATAGAGGGAGGAAGGGAAACTTTTGCAGCCAGGCAACGAAAGGAAAAACGATTTCACAAAAGATTTCTAGAGGTATCAGCCCCATGAGATAGGTTGTTTCCAGCCAGGTAAGCAGAGGCCCTTCTTTCCTATAGGTAGAGAAAATGGGATAATTACTTCAAGGGTTATCGCTTTAAGAAACTGCTGCATTTTAAGGTCATTTCTGTGCTTTGCAAAGGTGTGAAAATGTCTTACAGGGAAAAAGCAGTACCTAAATGCAAAGACAAATCGGAGGCCAAAATGAAAACAGTATGCCAGTGTTCCTATAGAGGGGAAAGCAAAACTAAACAAAACCCAAGCTGGCTCTAAGGAGAAAGGGTGCATGTTTAGAGGAAAAACAAGGCCCACAATGCCAATAATTCCCAGCTGTCATGGCTGGCAGGGGATATTGGGAAGTTGATGGATTTTGCATCCTAACTCACTGAAGAAGACAGCCTGGGTGTTAACAATTAAGATAAAATGAATTCATTCCTGTTTATTATGGCATGTTTAGCTCATATATGGCAAAGTTGGTACAAGGTCCTGGAAAACATGTAACATGCGTGTAGAGTCAGATCTGCAATTCTGGTATCTCAAATGTGACCTATTTAGGACCAAGACAAATTTTTCCTCCTCTAGTCCCATCCATGATCCTCTAGAACTTCAGGGAATTGCAGACATGGAAAAGTGAACGGATAACATTTTCCTAGCAACAACTTGGTGGAAAGGAGTTTTGATCACAGCTCAGTTTGAAAGTTATTTGTTAAACTGAAAATGAATGTTCTCCCTGGTAAAGTAGGATAGGTCTTTAATTCCCCCTCCCCACCCCCAGCACATGTCATGACTCACTTGTTATCAGGAACTGTTTGTTCTGGAAATGCCTTTTCAAGTTTATCCATTACATGGAATTAATGAGAACCATTGCATGTCTCTTATTAAAGACACAGTTAATTTAAACCAGCACTTGCTTTCCTTGCTTCCAGTGTTATTGATACTCTAATCTCTGTAGCAGAATAAAACCCATTGAGCCAAACAAATATGAACCTAGTTTCAGGCTGCAATTCTAAGCATATTTACTTCTGAATAAGAGATACTGAACACATTAAGACTTACTTCGGGGTAAAGACATATTCATACAAGACAGAACTGCCAGCACTGGGGTTTTGCACCTTCCAGGCCTTCCTGCCTCAATAAGCTGCAGTTCTAAACACATTTGCACGGAAATGAGCGCCATGAACATAGTGGAACCTACTTCTGAAAAAAGCACACAGAAGATTCAAGAGCACACCAGCCATTTCGTGCATCTGTACTTGGGAGGAACCAGTCCGTCTGACTAAACATCCACAGGGTCAGACTGCATGATGCGCGTAATCCGGCCCTCCTAGCAATTTAGAGAAGAGTTTTCTCTTTCCCGGCATAGCAATGGCTTATTCAGTCATTACCTGAAGATGGCCTTCAGCGAGGAGAAGCTGTACACTGTGCAGAGCAACATGAGCAGTATTTTAATTGGCAGCTCTGAAACACAAGGGAAGATCCGCAAATTATGTGTGCAAATGCTTCTGATTTGCCTACGGCAAGATAAACAGCTCTGGGGAAAAAAGCATGCTTTCTTTGTTACCGATGGGTGGATGGGTGATACATTCAGTGACCCTCCCAGCCCAAGGAACCTTGCAGCAGTTAGAGAAAAGCCTCAAATGTGCAGCCTCAGGGTGAAAAAAGAAACAATAGGATGCAAATGAAGACAAAAAGTCACAGGGCTGGTCCAAGGCATTTTGCTGCCCCAGAGAAAGCCGCTCTGCAGGCCACCCTTTTTGCTGTGCAAGTCGCTCTCCTGCTCTGGTTCCCGCCTTCACCTTCTGCTGCTTCGGAAGGTCGAGTGGCAGGGTGGCGTAGTGGTTACAGTACTGGACTGGGATGCAGGCAATCTGGGTTTTAGCTCCCAACCAGCCATGGAGCTAACAGGGTGACTTTGGGCCAGTCATGGACTCTCACCCTATCCTACCTCGCAGGGCTGTTTTTGTGAGGATAAAATAGAGAGGAGGGCTTAGTAAGCCACCTTGGGTTTTTTTTTTTTTGCAAGAGGAAGAAAGGTGGAGTGAGTATAAATGTGATAGTATCAATTAGGAAGAACAGAATCACTAAACAGTAGGTTCCATTGAAGTCACTAGAACTTACTGCTGAGTACACCTATTCGGGAATGCTTTGTATGGACCAACCATCTCTCCCCTGAAATTAACCTAGGAATGGACAGGGAACTCCTGAAAATGCGAAGTGAAGGAAGGGGAGTAGAAAGACCAAAAAAAGGAGTATGGAACAGGGAAAAAGGAAGAAAGAGCAAGAGCAAAAGGAAGGAAGAAGGAAGAACAGAAGGAAAAGAAAGAGGTGCAAAGTGGCCCAAAAGAAAGGAGAGGGGAAAAGAGCAAAAACTGGCCAGCATGCAAAGCTTAGTTGTATTTTAAGAAAGCTAAGGCAGGAAAGGTGACAGGGGAGACTTACCTGGAGCTGTGAACAGCAAAGGGAAGAGCGAAAGGTGTCCTGTGGTAGACAGCACCAGATAGATGCCAGCATCTCTTGATCGCTCCACAGACAGCAAACTGAAAAGCAAACAGGACTTGTTCAAGAGCAGCCACTGTGGGGTCTCTTTCAGCTTTCTTCATCCAGTCTTCTCTCTGTGCTGCCACTGCCACCCGCTGCCAGCATAAGCCGACGCATGTTCATATGGAAACACGCCCCACTGAGTTCAGCGGAGCTTCCTCACAGCAAAGCAGGTGCAGGATTGCAGCCTCACCCACCCACCTTGCAGCTTTACCCAGATGCTCCTGCGGCAGCAAGACACTCTTTCAACACTCTACATAAATTGGCCAGGAATAGCACAGAAATGGTCCAAATAGCCACACAAAAGCCCCCGTAAGGTCAGTTCTGTGCAGAACGAGCCATCTGCTCAAAGGAAGCAGACACTGTAGCTCCCGTGTCACCTCGGGTGTCTTTTTCAGCTGAATGTGACCTGAAAAACTCGCTTGGGATGGTTTTAAACATCATCAGAGCTCTTACCTCAACGGAAGAATGGCGAGGAGTATTGCTTTCTCGTGGACGTGCCACCCAAACAAGAAAGAGCTGAGAGCACAGAGCACCAAGCATCGCAGGAAGCCTCTGGGCCCTTGGGGTTTAAACCAGAGACAGAAAACAGAGGGCTAGAAATGACAGGCAGAAACAAAGGTTCAGTGGGCATTTCGGCATCGGGCACAGAGCTGTTCGTTCAGTGGAAGCTTCCCGTTTCTGTTGTGTGAGGGACAAGTCCCTGCTGACCTCGAGCTTTTGTTAAGCTGCTTTGTGATACCAAAGGGAATTGCGGAGATTCTAGGAGCAGCTACGCTTCACACCAGTTTCTCTGGCTTGGCTCCCAACCAGGAACTCTAGGAGTTGTGGTTCTAAGAGCGTGTGGAAAAATATAGTATGCATCTTGCCCCCCACTGGCTTTCAACTGGCTGATGGTCTCAATGGTGCCACAAGCTTCTTCTGAGAGCAAGAAAGAAGGGGAAATGGAGCCATGTTTAAAATAATATGCAAAATATAAAAGGCTGAGCCTCTTGTTGAAGGCATGGATTGAGTTTGCAGGCTCGTGGACTCACATATGTGAGCTGCCTAAGTAGCAGAAAGACCCTTGTTGGACATGGGCTCTTTTGATGCCTGAACCTGGTGAAGGTGGATGGCCAGAGCAGTTCACAGAACATCCTGAAATCCAGGGCTTGTTCTAGGGTGGCTGGGTGACTTGTGAGCCAGGCCAGCACCCTCCTGACCTTGCTGGGTTCAGACAGCACAGCCACCCATACCCAGTGAGGGCAATTATGCTAATTGGGTGGCTCACAAGCAGCACAATCTGGCAAGGAAATAAACCACAGTGACATGTTCCCGCTGTGATCGTGTGAATCCACTCTGTGCTGACAGTAGCTCCCAACTCTGAGCCCCTTGCCCTCCCGATCCACGAAAGTAAGAGCAGCCCTGCTGGATCAGGCCACGCGTCCATCTGCTCAGCACCAGTGTTTTAACTCTTCTGATTTAACACTTCCGCCAAGCCCATCTGTGCCAGTGCAGAACTGTCAACACAGCCAGGGTAGAGCTGCCAAGCCTGAACGTTAAAAGGGACCCATCCCAGAGAAGTGCAGAATGCAAAGGTGTTCCCCATAGTCCATCAGGGACAGCTTCATCCGCTGCACTGCTGAATGTTAGGCTTCCAAGAGCAGAGGCAGCCATTTTCAAAGGCCCAATGCACGGGGAGGAATCAGAAGAGGCTGGATATTCAATGGCACCAACTTTCTGTTGCATGCAAGGCAATGCATCTGTTTCGTTTCCATGCATCAGAGATCCCCGTGCATTATGCCTCAAGCAGTTGCGGACATACCAAAGCTGGGCAGCCAGGGTGATTTGCATTTACCAGCATAGAGATGACAGTACAGATTAAAGCAGCCAGTGGGGTCACCGAAGGAAGGACTACGTGTTGAAATTCTTGGACCAGCCCTCCGGTCATGGCAGCTCTGGGCATCTTCGTGGGGTCAAGGAATTTATATTTCTGACCTGGAAGCAAAAACGAGGTTTGTTTAGGAGCACGATCACATTTTCAGTCAACTGGTCAGTTAGCTTCTCTTGCACAGTGTCAACTTTACCAAAAGGTATATTTTGGTTTAAGTCCAGTGGCTTGTTTCGATGCTATTTATGTATAAATAAATAAGCTTAGGATCATGGCCCCAGTTTTTTTTAAGATGTTCCGTTAAAATGCCTAAGTGGACACAACAGAGAGGATACACTCAAGCAAAATGACGACAGGTTTTTTAGTATCAAGTTCCCATCTGAAATCTTGCAACTCCATAATCTGCACAACCAGAGCAGATGCTATGGAAGCATGCATTCAAGAGCTCTTCTCTGGGCTGAGAAATTTGATCCAGAAGTAGCCAACGTGGTACCCACCCATTATCTTTCTTAGTGCCCACCCTTTCCACTTTTTCTTGTTCTGTTTCTTTTTAAAGAAAAGTACCTCATTTTCTTAACGGGGATAATTTCAAAACAAAGCGAGAGCTCTGAGCCATTGCCATTTTCACTTCCCATTAATGCCAGTGGGCAGTGTTAATAATAACAATTTCATTTCTATATTGTCTCACAGCCAAAGCTCTCTGCGGGGCTGAGGGAAACATTCTTAGGAAATGAAGGTGATGGGCGACTGAAGACCTGCGTTTTAACTCCGCAGCAGCATGTCCAGGCACCAGAAAGAGAGAAAGGAAGCTTTGTCGCCTGTCTGAAAAACAGGGCGTGTGTGTTACAGACAATCAGGGTCCAGGTATCAGGGTTCAAGGACAACAGGGAGCCAGGAGGAATGGTGGTTACCCAGCTAGAGGATCAGGGACATAGACCAGCAGGGAAAAGCCTGGGAGAAACCTGGAGGGTTCTGCGCTTGTTTGGCTGAATGGATGGGGGATACTTATGTAGAGTAGGAGGTCTGGGAGGGTGAGGAAGAGAAAAGGGTTTCAGGAAATGTGAAAATCAGTGCGGGTTTTGGGCATTCTTGCATTGAGAAGGGGAAGCATATTTGCAGTTAAGACATGCAGGATTAAGGTACTGTACCAACAACGGAGAGAGCTTTATCCAGGACATTGTACACAGCCCAGAAGTTGGGAGCCCAGTATGAGTGACAAAGACCTCTCTTGAAAGGGAAGAGGCGGGAAAGCACCTGAGGAAGCTGGCCCTAAACAGAAGAAAAAGAGTATTAGCCTTCCTGTTCAGAACTAAACCAAGGCAAAACTGTTATGTTCACAGCTTAACAGGACATTGACTCTGCTTTAGGGTTTACTGGTGCACAATAATTTTAAATTGCTGATAGCTGCTTTCAGAGCCTTTGAACAGAAAATCATTTTATAAATTAAAATGCAAACATACAAACTATCTAAAGAATGTTTCCCACACTAGATTTCCAGAGATGGGCTGCTCTGCATTGCTGTCATCCTCAAGAGCCAATTCAGAGCAGTTGGTAGAGCCCTCTCGGGCGGGTACCACCTGGAACTTAGCGGTGGAGAGGTGGGGATTGCTGATTTGGAAGCTTGCCCTCCCGAACTCTTTCTTATATGTGAGAGAGAAAGATGTGTCTTGCTGATGATTTTCCTGATGGCTTCAGCTTTCCATCCACAGAGGGATGTTGCAGATAAGGAACCCACCATCCCTTCCCCATTCTCAAGACGGGGGAGGGAGTGGGGAGGGAGAGCCTTATCATTTGGGAAGCAGCAGCTGAAGAGTGGGTAGTTTAAGCAGTGCTTTTTTTGTAAGAAAAAGGGTGCCGGAATTAATGAAATTATTTACCTTTCGCACGTAGTCGATCACTGTACACACACTCACACACATCAGTTGTGTAACGAAACATAACGGTCGCTGTGTGCGGTAAGCACTCAGTGTGCGACCACACGACCAATCACAAGCCGAGCAGCACCATCACAACCAGCGTGGATGAAGTGCGCATGCATCGGACTCAACACTCAAGCGGCCCGCACGCACCATTTTAATGATTTTGCCGCTGACCTGCTACGCTCAACAGGGTGATTCAAATCCACGTGGACCAAACATCGAATTTTCAAAAGTTTCTTTTAAAACTTGGAAAATCTGTTGAAAAAAGGTGCCGGAACTCCATTCCGGTGCGTTCTATGACAAAAAAAGCACTGAGTTTAAGGAAGATTGGGGGTTCTGACTTACCCAAGCAACGAATGGTCCCAGTGAAAGGGCAGAGACGAGGCCAACAATGCAGCCCAGAGCAGTGAAGCGAAGAAAGCTGAAGCTGCGCCACCGAACGGATCCGTCTAGAGGAAAGGAGAGATTTCAGCCCATACAGGCACTGATGTGTGGAAGGAGCAAGAAATCCTTCGAAGCATCTCTGAGTTTTAGGCTAGCTATAAAAAGGATGGCTCTACTAACCTGGACAACCACTGCCCTGCTGGGGGGTCATAAAGCTATGGCTGTTATCTCCCCCCTTATACACCAGTGCTGTCCTCTGAGAACTGAGACACATTCCTGCATAACTTTGCGCGAATATATACATGTAATATACATGGCAGGCAAAGATTGCTTTATTTAAGATGACCTTTAGCCTGCAAGTTGATCTGGCAGTTGGCCAGCTGTTTTCAGTCATTTTTTCTTGTAATTGTTGCTTCTGTTGTATTTTATTATATTACTCTATTTATAATATTTGTTTTCCACCTCTTTTCCTTCCAAGGAACTCAAGGCAGCTTACCTAATTCTCCTCATCCTCTATTGTTTTAATCAATTTTAACTGGCTCTCTAAGCCACCCTCAGTGCCCTTTATTTTAGGCAGAACGCATACAGATGGCACTGATAAAAATGTACATAAACCTCCATTTCTCAATTTTATCCTCACAACAACCCTGTGAGATAGCTTAGATGTGCATGCACACATAATTATACAACTATACACACTTACTAAAGTCACCCCAAACAACCTAAAAACCAGGACCTCACCCAGTTATTCAAAACAAGTATGAAATTATGCAAAATAAGATGATGATGATGAGCAACTAGGGGAAATCAGGCTGCTATGGCTTTTTAAAAAGCAGTCTTAAGGCTGCAAACATCCGTGTGAACTGTTGCAGGCCAGCTGCCAGTGTGACCCACCCGCCCCCGGTCCTGGACTCGATGACCTACTCGGATTATTTGCAGTGAAGCAGTAGGACCGGAGCAGGAACATGCCATATGCCGGGGCGACATAGAGGTAGATGTGCTTGAAGTGCAAAAGGGCGGCAAAGAGAAGAGCTCCTTCCAGGTACCTTTTCTGTAAGGGAAGTGGGGCGGAGAAGAGACAGGTCAGGCGGATGCTCCAGGGAATGAGGTCTCTGAACCTCGTGCAGAGGAGTGCAGGACACCGGCTGGGCAGCAAGTCCTGGCAGCAGCCTCTAGCACGCTGACCACAATGCGGGAGCAAGCCTCCAGCATGAAGGCAGAAGCCTGCTGGAGGGCTGAGTGCATGCCCGACATCTGGCCTCGTGCTGCTGTCCCTACTGCTCCTATTCTATTTGATTAACGTCGTGTAAACTGTCCTGAGACGTTTGTGATGGGACGGTATAGAAAAGTTTTAAATCAGATGAATACTTTTATTATTTTTATTTATATCCCACCTATTCCCAGTGACTGGGACTCAAGGCAGCTGCAGCAAGCAAATAAGCAATGATGTGGGAAGGATCGAAGGAGCACATGAAACAGACGAGTGTAAACGTTCATTTGTTCTCTATTATCTCCTCTGACGGACAATAGCTCTCCAAGATTTTGACAGAGGTGACTTTAAAAACATCAGAAGAGTCCTGCTGGATCAGACCCGAGGTCCATCTAGCTCAGCATTCTGTTCACATGGTGGACAACCAGCCGCTGATGGGAAACCCGTAAGCAGAAGCTGTGTGTCAGAGCATCCTCCCACTCACATTCCCCAGCATACTGTCTCTGATACTGAAGGCAGCATACAGAGAGAGGCAATAGCAGCCATGGGTAGCTTATCCTCTGGGAATTCATCCAATTCCTTTTTACAGGCATCCAGACTAATGGCCATCTCTACATCCTGTGGAAGTGAATCCCACAGTTTAACTATGTGCCATGTAGGAAAACACTACCTTTTATCTGTTTGGAATGATTATTATTACATAATTATTATATCCTACCTTTCCCCCCCTCTTACAAGCAACCCAGAACAGCTTACATGATCCTCCTCCAGTCCGTTTTATCATCATAACACCCACCTTGTGAGGTGGGATAGCGGGTGACTGGTCCAAAGTCACTTATTTCATTATTTATTTATTTAATCGATTTATATCCTGCCTTTTCCTACAAAGGGCTCCAGGCAGCTTACATCTCCTCCTCCATCTTATCCCCACAACAACAACCCTGTGAGGTAGGTTGGGCTGAGAGTCTGTGACTGGCCCAAAGTCACCCAGTTGGCTCCATGGCTGAGCGGGGACTAGAACCCAGATCGTCTGAGTCCCAGTCCCAGGCTCTTAACCACTGCACCACACTGGCTCTCTTAGTGGGCTTCATGGTCGGGAGGGGACTAGAACCTGGATCTCTCTGGACCCCAGCCCAGCCCCCCACCCACCATGCCACACTGGCTCTCAACTGCCACCAATCACCCTCATTAAACATTGCTGGATTCCAGCATGACGAAAGAGGGAGAAAAATGCCTCCCTATCCGCCTTTCCACACCATGCATAATTTTGTAAACCTCTGCCGTATCGCCTGTCGGTCTTCTTTCCCAGCTTGACCTTTCAAATCCTTTTAAGGGAGATGCCTGAGATCCCCTGAATGTTTCCTGCTGCTTCCTGTGGCTTACTATGGGATGGTGTCCTAAGATGCACCTTTTGTGCCCTTTTCATAACATTCCTGCTGGTCAAACCCAGAGGAAGACTCAGAACATGACTATTCAAGCCTATAAGAGATGATCCAACCAGAGTATTTTTGCTGCAGATGGAGTACCCAGGACCTTGAAACAGCCTCGTAAAAAAGGCACCGGCTAGGCAAACCGACTGGGCCATTTTCTGTAAAGATTTATTTCTCAACAGTATTTTTATACTGTTCATTTACAATAAGTTGTCTGGGTTTTGGAAGAAATGACACACTGTAATATAAAAATGCACAACTTTAAAAATGTTAGTTAAAACAGCATAAACATAAAACCTGTGAGGGTCTAAAAAGCAATAAAATAGGCTATTTTTAATTGAAAAGTCTGGGGAAATAAGAAAGATGTTTATGTATTGCTGGAAAGACTGCAATTTAGGTGCCAGACAAGACTCTCTAAGGAAGGTATTTCACTAACAGGCAGCCACTACTAAAGGTCCTTTTTTTAACAATCAGACACCCACCTCATCTGATGGGAGGTATCCCGAGGATGGCCTCTGAAAATGACCTTAGTGTCTGGCAGGAATGCCCAGGTGGAGACTATCTCCTTTTCCCATGCTGTTGATGCGCCCTGAATGGCCAGTGTTGAGCTAGCAAATTAACTAATTAAAAATTATGCCCTGTCTTCTTTGTTCTCATAGGCTTAGCTTTTCCTGTTTTTCCTTGGAAAATAATTCAGCACATACAAGCAGACCCGTATGATTGAAATGGCATGTTGAGAGCGCAGGTTCGAGAGACCCCTGCGGACTCTAGCAGAATGACACAAGGGCAGCAACGCATGCACCCAACTGGCCACCTTCTCGACACTCCGGTGCTGTGGCTGCAGGAAACTGGAACAGCGCCGGCATCTTTTTAGCCAGTGTAAAGAGATAAACAAGCAAGGAATAAGATCTCACATGCCCTGCAATCCTCCTTCTCCACCATATTTATTCACATCTTTTAACATTTGAAGCCAATTAGGATTTGCACTTAAACCTGGATGGCTTGAGGTCTGTTCCGGATGAGGTGGGAATGCCTGTTAGCCTACAAGAGTCGGGGATGCATTACCTGGAACAGTCGTGCAATGGAAAGCAGCATGAATCCAAAGAGGAACCCATTGTACTGAAAGTGAATATCTGAGACTGAGTCAAGGAAGGATTTACGCTTTAGACTGTAGTTGAAGCAACATTTTAAACTGTTTTCCTTCACTATGTCTTTTTCCATCAATTAGATGGCTAGTGATGAATCTACCTGGCCATAAGCTCAAAAGATCCAGTTCTCGTTAGAGCTGGAGAGGTATTTCACATCAATACCTGTAATTAGTAAAGACAATCTAACCCAACTTCTTGACCTGGAAGGATACGGTCCACAATTAAGAGGCCGAAATTCCATAAGAGGAGAACTGTGAGAACAAAGGGAGGGCTCTCCAGAATGTCCTTTCCACCTCGCCTTCCGTTTATACATCTGGAACATCTGGACAGGAAGAAAATAGGGAAATGAAGTCCTAACAATCTTATCACATTCTTCTAGAATCATAATAGGGTGATGTGGCCAAGAAGGCCATCGGGCTCGACCGGCTGCTCAATGCAGGACTCCCAGTTAAACCATCCCTTTCTGCTGGATGCTAACTGGCACGTAGAAAAGGAGACAGGAGTGGGAAAAAGAAACAAGGCCTGCTCTACTTCCACTGCCTGTTCCACCAGGAGATGAGAGAGGAACCAGGGCCATTCCACTGGCCCTATGAAAAGTCTACTTAATTCATTCCTCTTTTCTCCCCCTTTGCGCTTTGTGCATGGCGTTCTTCCAGATTGCAAGCATTTGTTATAAAATGCCCTGTTTTGGTGATCAATCGTAATGTGCTCTAGGAGACTCTTTTGGCTGAGGAACAGGGTAAAAATATCTCAATAACTACCGTCTTCATTTTCATCTGTTGCATGCAGAGGCCCCTCACCAGATTCATTGAAATGGGCAAAAGGGCGGAGGTCAAGACAACGAGATCTATTCTCAAATACCAACACTGTATCTACTCCCTTTTCCCCCTCCCCTGACAACAAGCTGTACCCCAAGGAGGGCACATCCACATACTCGCGAGCTGCATAGATGAAGAGCAGATCGGCAAAGATGACTGAAAGCCTGTGAAAGAGAACCGTTGCAGGGCTGGAATAGTTGAGGTTTTGGATCACCAGCATTTCCTTGTCAAAGTGTTTGGCGACGTGTGAAAGCACATACTCGAACCAGGCAAAAAAAGGAGGGTAGTCTAAGGTCCATTCAGAGGTTGCCTGAAAGAAAGAACACAGGGGGAGAATCTGCATTAAAGGGCAGGGGACAGGGAATGGATGATCTTAAGTGTGCAAGCTCATTTGTGTAGACACATTCATCCTGCCACGACGGCAGCAACACAAGCATGCCTTGGTCTGAGCAAAGAGGGTCTCCCAAAACGAAGCCCATGAACGGAATTCGGTAATCTCCATGCCGAGTCTGGACCGGGGCGGCTCAGGACTTCATGGCCTCTATGACGGCCATGGGCCTGTCTCAACACGTCATCGGCCCGACCCATGAACGTGGACACACTCTGGACCAGTATTCACGACGGGGCAGGAAGAGGATGACCTGAGGGTGAGGAACTTATGTTTGACTCCCCTGTCATGGTCAGATCACCTCCTGGTGAGGTTTGTGCTCGAGAGCGGCCTCTCCCTCTATAAGAGTGCAGACCTGATTGTATGGGCCCGCCCCCGGAGCCGGATGGATCCGGATGGATTCCTGAAGGCCCTGGGGGAGTTTCCGGCTGACAAGACTGGTGCTCCTGTCGAGGCTCTGGTCGAACTGTGGAACGGAGAGATGACCAGGGCTGTGGACACGATCGCTCCCAAGCGTCCTCTCCCACTGGGCAGAGTCCGCTCTTCCCCTTGGTATACACCTGAATTGCGGGCGAAGAAGCGGGTTGGGAGACAACTAGAGCGTAGGTGGAGGAAATCACGGGATGAATCTGACCGAACACACTTGAGAGCCCACTATCGGGCCTATGCTGTGGCGGTGAAGGTGGCGAAAAAGAAGTTTTTTTCCGCTTCCATTGCCTCCTCACAATGCCGTCTGGCGGAGCTTTTTCAAGTGGTACAAGGCCTGGTTTGCCCGGGTCCTAAGGAAGATCCGATGCCACCCTCAAAGGCCCGCTGTGACGACTTTGCCAGGCATTTCAGGGAGAAAATCGCTCAGATTCGTCACGAGCTGGACTCCACTAATGAATCAGAGATCTCGGGGAGACGCCAATGCTACCGTCTGGTCTAAAATTATTGGAGGAATTTCAATTATTGCGGCCCGATGATGTGGACAAGGTGCTTGGACGAGTACGTCCCACCACTTGCCTATTGGACCCTTGCCCGTCTTGGTTAATAAATAACTCCAAGCATGGGATTGGGACCTGGATCTTGGAAGTGGTTAACGCTTCTCTGAGGGAGGGTCGAGTGCCTGCCCCTTTAAAGGAAGTAGTAATACGACCGGTCCTGAAGAAAGCGTCACTGGATCCAGAGATGGCCACTAACTATAGACCTGTGGCCAACATCCCGTTTCTGGGCAAGGTGTTGGAGCGAGTGGTGGCGGGACAACTCCAAGCACTCTTGGATGAAACTGATTATCTGGATCCTTTTCAGTCCGGCTTCAGACCCGGGTACAGTACTGAATCTGCCTTGGTCGCCCTGTACGATGACCTGTGCAGGGAGAAGGACAGGGGGAGTGCGTCCCTGTTGGTTCTTCTGGACCTCTCGGTGGCTTTCGATACCATCGACCATGGTATCCTTCTGGATAGGCTAGCGGGATTGGGGGTTGGAGGCACTGCTTTGCAGTGGTTCTGCTCCTATCTCAACGGTCGATTCCAGAAGGTAGTGCTGGGGGACCATGTCTCTACGTCATGGCAGCTATGCCATGAAGTACCACAGGGCTCCATCCTATCCCCTCTGCTATTTAACATCTATATGAAACCGCTGGGAGAGGTCATCAGGAGGTGTGGGCTGCGGAATCATCAATACGCTGATGATACCCAGCTCTACCTCTCGTTTTCCACTAATCCAGGTGAGGCAGTGGCTGTGCTGAACCGGTGCTTGGCCGGGGTAATGGAATGGATGAGGGCCAATAAACTGAAACTCAACCCAGACAAGACGGAGGTCCTGTTGGTCGGCGGATCGGGCTTCGGAGAGGGTGGATTTGACCTGGTCCTGAATGGTGCAACACTTCCTCTTAGGGACAAGGTCCGCAGCTTAGGAGTACTCCTCGACCGGAGCTTTCTTTGGAAGCTCAGGTGACAGCGGTGGCGAGGAGCGCCTTCCTTCAGCTTCGGCTGATTAATCAGCTGCGCCCCTACCTGGAGTACGACTGCCTGGCGACGGTGACACACGCGCTGGTGACTTCCCACCTAGACTTCTGTAACGCGCTTTACGTGGGGCTTCCCCTGAAGACGGTCCGAACACTTCAATTGGTGCAAAATAGAGCTGCCAGGTTGCTGACAGGGACGGGGCGTTATGCTCACATGACTCCAGTCCTCCGTCAGCTTCACTGGCTTCCCATTGAAGCCTGGGCCCAATTCAAGGTGTTGATTATGACCTATAAAGCCCTAAACGGCTTGGGTCCTGGCTACCTGAACAAGCGCTTACGTCCGTATATGCCCGACCGCCCTTTGAGATCTGCGGGAGAGTCCCTTCTCCGGGAATCCTCCATGAAAGATATTAGGAGAGTAAGTACTCGGAGGAGAGCTTTCTCTGCGGTGGCGCCCAACCTATGGAATTCACTCCCCGAAGAGGTCCGCCTGGCACCGTCGTTACTGGTTTTTCGGCGCCAGGTAAAGACCTTTTTATTTAAACATCATTTTAATTGTTAAAACATATGATCTGGCCAGGGCAACTTCTTCTTCCTTCTCTTTTCTCCTCCAATATTATTTATTTACTTATTTTATACTGATAATTTTAATTTTATATTATTATGTTTGTAACTCAGTGTATTTTTCGTATTTTTGTATTTAATGGTAATTTATTATGTTCTATTGTATTTCAATGTATTTTATTGTGTTGTAAGCCGCCCCGAGGCTTCGGCAAGGGGCAGCATAGAAATGTAATAATAATAATAATAATA